CCGCTAATTTGCTTGAGCAGGGAATTCACCCTAAATACAAGTTGCCAAGAAACGGATCACAACTCGTTGACTTGCGAGTAACCGTGGACAGGATGGACTCCAGGAGTTATTATACCAGAATGGGCGAGATTTACTTCCATATTTTAACGAGAACGCTTCTCAGGGTTACATTTGGCCCTAATCTACCTGATACCGGACTATCCATTATGATCCTGAGCACATGGAGTAAACAGTGTTGTTGTTGAAAATCAGATAATTTTTCTTGCACTACTGGTTAGTGGTCATCGTATGTTAATTGTAAATTTTAGTGTTTCGCAAAGTATAACAAGCCACCTTCCAATGGTATAAGCGTGTCGTGGCCGCTGTGCGGTCTGCAACTGTCGCTGTTCAATCTTGGCGCCGGCACCACGCCGATGTGCCTTCGTCGTACTTCAGTTTCGAGCAACATCGAAGGAAAAAGTGATCATTTTCCGATCTCTAAACCACAGTGTCTAATCGTTTGTTCGTTTAGCTTACTTCTGCACACCAATGGAGAATTACAACGTGTTCATGTTTCTTCCGGCTACCAACAAATCGCATCCGTTGTCGGATAATAGTGTCTTCGTGCTAGCTTCCAGGGTAAGTGATGAAATTGTAGCGATAAATTGACGCTTCTTAATCACTGATCACTTATCATTATTTAAACTTATAAAACATTTTACTAATTTGCAGGAAAGCCTATAACTGGATTTATTCTTGAAAGCTAGTTGCTGTTGTACAATTAAGCGTCCCAATACGGAGTCCCTCAATGAATTACTCGAGTGGCTATAGAAGTAAAGGAGGGTATTATAGCTACTGCAAGTCGCTCATTCACGATATATCTGCAGCAGCAGAGACGTTTAAAATGAAATTCTTTGAATTACACAATTCGTACATTCATTTTGTACGTAGATGAAAATAATCAGGTGTGAAATGGGAAAAAAATGCACCATAAAAAGAAATGCAAAGATGAAAGGAATAATCTCATTCATGGACATTCTTTTAACAATTAGTATCGTTGGCGCGTTAGTAACAAGTTTAAGTTCAGATTTATTATTCTATGACAGCTACAAGAGCAATTGCTTTCAGTGACATTGTCTCACTGAATGCAAAATAATGATTAAAAATAAATAATTTTTTATAATGTGCGTTCACTCAGAATCCAATTTTAGTCATGGTGATTCTCTCTAAAACTTCAAACTAATTAATTAATTAATGAAGCTGATAAGGAATAACAAATTTGCAAAAGGTCTCTATTCTCGCCAGTATGCGGATAAAGATCAAAAGAAGTCAAACATTATAGCGTCCTTTAGCCATGTTTCTGTGCAGTGGATTTTTTTGCCTTTGAAGATCTAGTTGCCGAAGTGTTATGTACTTGAAATCACAGTCTCATTCAGGGCCGAAGCAATATCCTGGAAATTGAATTCTCTTGCACGTGCTAGTGATAGTAATGCAAAGTCGTGACACGGTGAAATCTTCTATACTTATGGTCCCAAAATGTACGAGAATAGCATAGGTAATCATCGAGATTATGGAACTTCGCACAAACTACCAATTAAGCTGGTTCGGAACGCCAAGTCCAACGCCTGCCACATAATGTTTTCCGCCGCTGTCCAGTAGCTCGTTCTACTAGGCCACTCCTGATTAGTTTTATCGGTTTATGGCTAAGCCGAAGTAGGCTACCCTTGGCACCGGCTCTAATAATAGTAGTAGTACCTTCAACTGGTCGTATTCCAGTCATCCCGTAAAACTTCTTTGAGTGTATTCCACGTTGTTTCTGTTTTTTCAAAACGCGTTCGCTGGATTTGACCCACTAATTCTGACAGATTGTTACGATCTTGCGCGTATTTCACCACATCCTGAACGCATCTAATTTTTACTTGTGAAAAATGCTGAGTAACAACATTGAGGAACAGCAGAAAAGTCTTATATGACACAACAAAAAACATCTTTTGAACCGAGAGATCAGTCCGATGCTGACATTTCTCTCCTATCTCAAACAATCTTCAAGACGTGGTTAGGTAGGAGGTTGTTTTCAGAGCTGTTTGTTTTAGGCCGCTAATTTCGATGTGATGCATGTGGCTGTATTAAATACTTGTTTTCCACGGACGCGGAGTTAAGATCCTTTCGACTGGAAACTTTTGCAACGCCTGATTTCAAATGTCTCTCAAGCCAGACGCATGAACGGACAGTTTTCTCCGCTATGCAAAAGATATCAGCTGCTGCAGAAAGCAAAAAACCCTGAAAATGTTCGATTTCTTGCTATAAAAAATATCATCATAATATTGGCCATAAATGTACAATGTAGAGTGATAGAAAGAACTAGACAAAATAAAGAGTACAGATCCAGAAAAAGTTAAAGGCACAAATATCCAGGTATATCCTGGAACTTCAGTTAGTGTTTTTCTCAGTTGCAAGGTTCAAATTATGATCGCATCAAGATGCCTTGTAGATATAGCTTTTTTATCATGTTTAAACGCGCACTCATTTTGAGCGGACTCCACATCAATCTTTAATAAGATCCACGGTGCTTTAACACCCAGAAAGTCGAGAACTCTACGCCACACGCGCTACAGACGACCCTGATTTACGCAAATTCAGACTTTCGAAAATTAATTTAAAAGGGATACGGAAAAGATTTCAAATTATAAAAAATGCACTTCATGAGCCTATGTTACTATTACCCATTCTGAAGACTTATTTATAAACTGATTCGTGTCTGAAGTTTAAAATTATTTGCGAAAAGTTGACATTCAGTTCAGGGTTGCTTGTTGGTGGTAATGCTCCTCTTGATTCTACCCATTTAGATGATTTCCATCAAAACAAGAGTATTCTACCTTCCACCCAACATGACGTCGCTTATCCATCTGATGTGCGACAGGGCAATTCCGAACTTCAAAGCATGTTTGCGTAAAAGTTTTGCGAAAGCGTTCTCAGCTCTGGATCGAAATCCTGATTTAACAGTCAGATTATTCTTGGAAGTTATATAAATTTTTAAAACTACTATTTGCACAAGTATAGGAAATGGTTACACAAATCCTTAAAGATGATCCGGTGCCATGCGAAACGTAGGCAAATTGGAATAAGCCATAAGTCGTATAGCCGTAATAGATGCGTTTAAATTTTTCGTCATTAAGACCTACCCATTAGCAATATTTAAGCGTACTGTTAAAACTTATATATTAAAAATCAGTTCAATCATAACCTATCTGAGGTTGTTTAAACATAATTTTAACTTTGCTCGTTTCTCGTTTCAGATGGATTCATTTTCAATGTTCGCCGATATGAGTCCTGGTGCTGACTCCGCACTCAGTAACATGGTAGCTATGCTGAGCATAATCGAGGCGCTAGGACGTGCACAGTCGACAATCAAACTTCTCAGTGAGAAAAATGACAAGCATCTGTTTCTGGCGTTTTTTAACGGCGTAAGTGATCCAAGTGATGTTTTTTGCACTGTCCCCCTGCTCATCACTGCATTTAGGAAAGTTTCGATTATATCGGTTCTTCGCGAATGATCTGGGAGATGGCCAAAGACGAATTTCCTCAGCCGCTTAAGAACGGAACTGAAGAGCAGCCTGCTTTGTTTCACCTGTCGAACATAGCCTTTTTCCTTGAATTGAACCAGTTGGCGTTATCAGGCGATGGTCGACTTTTCCTCCATGTTGATCCGTTGTCCTATGCGAAGGCAGACGTTCAGCGGCAGGTAGGTTTTGCTGTTTGAGGGTGTGGCGGTCCTTGTTTCACGTTACGTTTGGTTTCCAGGTCGAACATGTATCGTCGCAACTCATGAACTTCGGCGATGGAATGTTCATCGGTTACAACAAGTCCATTCCCCTCCCACCTGCATCGCTGCAGAGTTTTCTCAAGGCCCGTCCAGACCTTCCTGGTCTGGTGATCACCGATCATCTTTACGAATTTAGCAACAAGTAACAATGATCTTTACGCTGCCAAATAACCATTATGTAACTCTCACTCATCGTATTTGAGGTTTTACAACTCGTTTATGGATCAACCACCGAGAATCAATCAGCTGAAGTTCGCCAGAGTCGTGAAGCACGCTGGCGACGCAATTTTGAACTTGATTTTCCTATGGTTGAATAATGGAGTCGAGCAACAAATGATTCCAGAAATCGATATCAAAATGGTATCAGTATGGTTGTGATTGGATATTCGTTAAGATTTCTTCGTTTTTAGGTGGACACCCTGCTCAAATGCCTGCTTCACTTTCCAGACTGGAACTGTACGAGCCTTCGACAGATCATCGACAGTTTACCTGGCAGTGATTTCCAGCGAATGGCGCATAGGGAACTCACAGGCATGTATTCATATTTCGTACCCGTTTGGTCTGGAATTTAAAATAAGTACCCTTCATTCAGCTTGAGAATGCGTTCTGATAAGAGTCCGTGCATAGATAACCAAGCTAATGCTATATCTCTGAATCGAGTCGAGACCTTTTCGCAACATTCCAAATGATTTGATGTTTATATAGCGACTTTATTCTTGCCCTGACCTTGTTTTTCAAGTCCATGAACTGCTTCATTGAAACATGCTCTTTCTTGGGTAATCCTTGAAGATAAATCTCTAGTGATCTGATTTATACCAAAGAAGTTTTACCATTCGTTTCACAACCCATATACCGTATCAGGGTTTTCACTGACTTAAGGGACGTGACACTTTCGTTCAGATTAGCTTCTCTTGGCAGGTGACAAAGATGC